GAGTTTCTGTTTCTAAATGCGAAATTGTTTCGTCCAAGGAGGTATTTTGATTAAACACGTTTGTTTTCTTTTCATTTACTTCAGTCATGCCAATTTTGAGATCACAAAAAATAAAAGGGGTCTCCTATTCATGCTAGCTGTCCAATGTCAATTGCTTAAATTATCACCATGACAAGACAGCTATCAAAAACAAATATTTTTTTTTTCAATAACTACCTAAAATAGCTAAATGGTTAAGTTTATATTTGTGCACACATAACATTTATGATTACTTCTTTATATATTTTTTATTTAATTTATTAGGATTAGGCGAATTTTTGAACTGGTACGTGTTTGATAGATGCATGTCGTTTGTTTGAATGACATGCTCACCTTTTTTGTGTTTGATTTTATAGTTTGGTTGTTGTCCAATCGACGTACACTCTTTCTCCTGATATTCTTTGTCAATGTACGTTTCCAAGGGGAACCATGCTGATTCGTTTAATCGTTATACCAAAAAAACAAACACTTCATTGCCGAATTCACAGGTTAAATAATGTACATGTTGGTTTTAATTCTAGGTGATTTTAAAAATGTTAACAGAATTCGCTATGACATTTATATACCTTGTTTTTTTATAAATAAGTTTCGAACATATTATTTCTATATTTTTGATTAATTTAATAATTGACTATTAGTTATTACGATTAATATATCAAACAAGTTATTTGTCTGAGTTTAAGGTTATCTCGAAATGTTTAACTGATATTGATGTTGATCTAGTCATTACAACTGAACTTGATATTTTTTAATCTCACGTGTTTAACCGATTACATAAAACATACTAGTGTGCAAACAATTAAATTCATGTACAGATTTGATAAAGGCTGGAAATTATCTAGTTGTAGATATAATTCAGGAAATTATTACTTAGCTGAATTTAAATCTATATACGAAAATAGGGTGTCAACTTATAAACATGTTAATCTATATATGTTAGGAACGCCTTCTTAGGACTAACGAACAGATGTTTATACAAATATGCAACGAAAAAAGTATTTCGATTGAACGATAAAATACTTTCTAAAGACAAGTTCAAAGCTGCTCAATATAAGTGTCCTAGTATTTCTAAAAGTGCCTTTATAATACGATATCCGCACCTCCTTAAACAATCGATGAATTTCATGAATCGAAACTAAATTACTTGATATCTTTGTCATGTTCAGGGCACCAATATCAAAATATCTAAATTGTATTATTTATATATTGTGATTTTCCTATATACCAGGACATCTCCGTTCACTTTTACTATTTTTTTAACGAATATGATGAAATATCTTTTGAAAAGAAACATTCGAGACATCTTGAAACCAGGAGGTCCGCTCATAGTATTTTAGCGGGGGAAACTGCGCTTTTTTGCTGAACTCGTACACATTTTTGTTTAGGGGCCAGATGAGGCCCGCCTCCAGGTGCGGGATTTTCTCGCTGTGTTGAAGACCAATTGGTGGCCTTGGGCTGTTTTTTGCTCTTTGGTCAGGTTGTTGTCTCTTTGACACATTCCCCGTTTCCTTTCTAATTTTATTTCTCATTATATGGCAAATATTTCCAACATTAAACTTCATGTATTTCCAATATAAACAATAGAGTAATGTTTATGTTCTCAGATTACTGGAACATGTGCAATTACTATGTTTAAACCGTGTCATTGTCCATAAACATACATCAGGCTCCGTAAGCCCGTTCTTTTGATTACCGAAGAGATTTTGTATTATGATTCACTTTACTAAAGTTCGCTAATAAAAATAATTTATATCGATATAAAAAAAGTTAAAAACACATCTCATTACAACGATGGAAAAAATTTGGTTGTGTCTATTATTAAAAATCTCTGCAGCGCTTAACCTAAGATCTCTTTAGGCATACTATGCTCATTTTCAAATGTTTGGGTTTAAGCGAAAAGTTGTATGATCAATAAAAGCAACAATGTCTCCTAGTTAATTAATAATTGTTTTCCCTCTATTTCACAAAATACTGCGGTAACATATTGTATACGCTTGAGTATTCGTAAAATGAACATGTCCTGAAGAATCATGCACAAAGTTGTTGAATGGAGCTTGGTTTTAACAGATATATAGTATACTCTTTACAACATTTGGACAACCTATTACTTAACATTTTGGTTTTTTAAACTTTAGACAGTCTGTTAAGGATTAGTACACTTAATGTCTGCAATAATTGTTTAAACACATTGAAGTTATATTCCTATGCATGTATGATGGAAAGTTTAGATCAAGATAATGACAAGACCGCTTTACATTTTTCAGGTTATTTTGCAATACAATTTATTCGGCCTAATAAAAATATCGGAACCTCAGTTTAGTAATAATATAATCTCGATTAATTAACGTTTTGATAAATTGTAGTGTCTCAATTTATTAAGTATTTATAGATTTATCTGCGACATTACCGATGTATTGTATTGAATTCATTTATTTTCGTGAATACCAGTTTTCGTTGATCGAGAACAAATTGTATTTTCGTGGATATTTGATTTCGTGGTTTTGCCCAAGTCTTCATGAAGGCTTATAGAAAATATGTACTTCGTTGAAAATTTAAATTCGTTGTTAACCTAAGCCAACTAAGCCCACGATAATTGGTATACAACAAATAATAATGAATCCACAGTATTTCATTTTACAGGTTTTGAAGAATCATTGATATTCTACTAATACTTAAGATTATTCTGATTCAAGAAATAGGGATTCAAAAACATTTCAGTAACAGCTTATCAGATTTGCTCATAGTTATTTTTATACAAATAATAAACGGGACGACATTTCATTGACGTTCCCAGTATTTATTTTTTATGAATTGGATACTTTTAATGTGATATGTGCATATTAACAGGAAAAACTCGAATCTTAATTACTGTTTATCTTTGATAAAAATCTAGTTTCACCTTGTCGCTTTTTTTTACTGTTCCAAGTCATGTTGCTCGTCAGGTGTTGGCTTATATCATATCGTATTATTTATCAGTGACGTAATAAAAAAGCTTACATTCTAAGTTTATTTTCTGATGTTTTATTTAAAACTACAACGCTTTCCACTGTATTCTTTCATTATTGTATTTTCTTTTGCTATTAGTCTGATACTTTTAGTAACAAAAAAAGCTTACATTGATTATTCTATTCAAGTTATTCAAAACTTTCATTAACTAGCGGTATTAGAAGCTTGACATTTTGTTAAGACCACATGTTATTGTTGGAGAACTGTACGTTAACTCTTTAATCTTTCCTTTGTTTTATAGTTGAGTTGCTGTCTTATTGACGTTTACCATACATCTACTGTCATTCTCATAAAATGTATATGAGATTAAAAATAAGATTAAGAATATTTATTGAATCCAATTAAATGGCCCGTTTTCGAGCATATACATATGTAAATATATAGTATCAATTATACAGTACTTTTTATGATATATTCCATTAAAAATAAATTCATAAATAACTATACTCCATACCTGATTGTGTTTAAAAATAAATAAAAATAGAACCCTCTCTGATACATAAAACATAAACTACATCACTACTACATGTTCATTTAGTTTCTGGAATGCAAATTTTCTCTTATTTCAAAACTTATAAATCTTGACACTCATATATTAACATTTTCAGACTCACTGGACATCAACAAAATTAGCTGTTCATACTTTGAAATATAGTGGAAGTTTTTACATTGAATGCATTTTTCACTGAGAATAAAATTCCTTTCCTTTCCGTATGCAGTGTACTCCATTAAAATCTTATATATGTAGGGAAGGCATTGACATTTTATTGAATGCTGTGTTTTTCTTTAATTTCCTCATTTATAGTTCTATACTTGACATGAAAGTTTCATTTGTATGCGTTTATACAAAACTGAGCAGGCATCGTTTTACTTGAGATACAGAAAAACCCAAAAGTGCGAGTAGAAAGTGTTTCACATGAAATAATATACCATGTTCCTTCTTTTTTGCTATATCCAATTCCGACTTATCTCGCACAGTTAGGAAAACGAAATTCCAAATACTTGTATATCTTGGTAGCATTGCAAGTTAAAACATTGAATAATCTTAATGATAGCACAAGGAAGTAAAGTCAGTAAATATTGGATGTACATATCACTTAGTAATGTCAAACTTTTAAGTTAAATAGGGAAGTTTGTATTCAGATAGTTTTAGATAACCGTCATTTACCTTACATTGTAGCAACAATATGATACTTAGATATTTTATAAACTGTAGGTACAGGAAGTTTCAATAACGTCAGATGAATACAATTAAATGAAATTTTGATGAAAACCTAAACAGTATTTGCCGTTAACTATTAAAATTTAGCAATGATTTGTGTTTATTTATTCGTCTTTTTCTTTCTATGGTTATCGTGGTTTGCTACCTTAATCAAACGATAAACATTATTAATTTGTGATGTACGATTTTGTTTATCAATGCTTTTTATTGGTCTGTCATTATGATACAATGTAGAGATTTTCTTGAAAATGAAACAAAACGTTTGTTTATTATATAATGCGAAAATTGGTATGGGAATAATACATTGGTATGAAATTGATGTTATTGAAAAACAACTATGGATCTCAATTTCGCTACACATGGATAATATTAATAAAAAAATGATAGAGTATTGCAACCTACAAGAAAATTGTTGAACCAAGGCTTTCAAAGTTGAGGTTGTTCTATCGAAAGTTTTACGGACGGACGACATTGAGAGTTTATTAACTTACTTTTGCCGAAAGAAGCTGAGTGTAGCTAGTGGGGCTTGAAATGCTCAGAGTTCATCACAAAAATTTGGTGGGGTTCGTTTTGTTGAATCTCACCCACTGTGTAGTGGTTTTTGGACAGTTTGTATGTTCGTCGTCCGTGTTTTTTTTTTTTTTTTTTTTGAGGGGGGGTGGCTATGGCATTTTAAATGTTGTTTGATTTTATAATATCTATGATTCGCTCCAAGTCATTAATTCCTTCTTTCATGTTATTTGCTTCATCGACAATGCAATGTTTAATCAGCAGAGGTACCGTGGTTTACAAATGAAATATTTGAAATAACCATTTAAATACCACAAACATGCAATCAAGAAACTTAATTAATATGGGATGAACTCGAATATTATATTTTTAATAAATAGTGCTTTACAATTTATCGATGTGTCTAGGGTTAAGTTTTCTTTCATTGAATTTATATGATCACGCCGTCTTGTCATACATTTCGGTTTCGTTCATTAAATCACTTCTGTAGGTTGAAGAATAATCACAGTCTTCGTCATTCTGTACTCCTAAAAACGAATGGTCATATACATCGGTTACTTCGTGACTTCTACTAAACTCGGATATATCATATGTAGGGTCATTCTGGTCTCGCATTCCTTCGTGACTGTCGTACAAGTTTCCTCCCAATATGATTTTTCGTTTTTGTATATCATTTAGCTGATCATATTGTCCATCTGATGAATCCGTATAAGTCTCGTCATTATTTTTAAACTTTTGGTCAGATTTGTTCAATTTGTCGACTACCGCATACGTGTTTGATTGGTTTGTTGCAATTCCATAGTTCTGGTTGGATATCTGTTCAACATGCGATGCATTTACGCAATGTAAATCACACTTCGGTCTTTTTGAAAATTCTACTTTGTCATCATTAGTTTTCTTTTTTCCTTTGAATATCCCAATTGATCTGCCAAAAAAAAACAGAAGTCTCATAATGTTACAATGACAAACTGAATATGTAAATGCGTTGAAGGTCTCACTTTTATTTTGCGATTAGAACCGGGAATTAGAACACCGCTCTGGTGGGTTTGTCTACGTGGGAATTTTTTCATTTATTTATACCAGATTAATGTTCGTCATGCCGACATAACATTTTATTTGTAGCTGACATCAAATAGCATAACGCCATACAATAATAGCAATATAATGAGAAGCTAATATTCAATATTGGTGGAGCTTCAATCTATGAAAAGAATTTGTTCAAAAGTTGTTTGTCGATAATTAAATAAGTTTGTATTATTTGTTCTTATACATAAAGGCGACTGTAGTTTGCTGTTTTTCAAATCTCGCATATCTATAAGGAAGAGACAAATCAAGGTAACAAACAAAACTATTGAGTTGAGACCCCTTCACTGCGTATCGATCAAGTAATTTGTGATGGTTACCGTAAAAAATCTGAACCGGTTACAAAATCAATGTTGACAAACGGTTCCATACATTTTGAAAGCAGGAACATAATATCTTCACTACCATTTGGACACAACATTTCTTATATATTTATATCTTATTCTTATTTAATTGTAATACAATAATGACATAATACGTACTTAAATTAATTAATATAAAAAGAAGAAGATGTGGTATGATTGCCAATGAGACAACTCTCCATCAGAGACCAAATGACATAAAATTAACAATTATTGGTCACCGTACCGCCTTCAACAATGATCAAAACCTATAACGCATAGTCAGCTATCAATTCCTCCACCTTAACAGCAATATACTAACTTCACCTGCAAATATGATATAAATATCCCAACTAATTCGATATTCAAGAGCTTGCATCTGCTACACAGACTTTATAAAAAGTCACCAATGTCTGAGCAGAAAGTGGATGAACAAGGGTTATGTCAAAGAACGTCTCGTCCTTTTTTCTAAAATAAAGTTCATCGGACGATACCAAGACCTTGTTGAAAAATATTCCGTACCAACTTCACAAATAATACATGATGGTCTGAAAGTATAGATTATATGTACTCATTTTGTTCATAATCTTAATTACGTGTTTTAATATAAATAAGAAGATGTGGTAAGAGTGCCAATGAGACAACTCTCCATCCAAGCCACAATGTGTAAAAAGTAAACAATTATAGGTCAAAGAACGGCCTTTAACACGGAGCCCTGGCTCACACTGAACAGCAAGCTATCAAGGGCCCCAAAATGACTGGTGTAAAACAATTCATGTAATATTATTTTTATATGTCTTTGTTTATGTTTAAAAATTACTGTTTAATCCATTTTTGGTAATATCTTTTTGGCATGGCTCGGTATTTATACATTCAGTCATTGTGTTATTGTGCAATGGTCATTTTTTGTATTCTTGTCTTTCATTTTTGCTCATGTGCTTTGTCTATAAAGTGTCTATATTCCATTTTGTTTATCTTTGTTGGCATAGTTGTTTGTTTTATAGTGATTAACATTAAAACACAACGTAAACAAAGACATACAGATATGACATAAACTCAGATCCCACGGGTTTCGAATAATCTAGATTTCTAGTATTCATAGATATTACACCTAGACATATGGTTTACCTTTTCCGACACACAAAAATCGCTGCTGATATCAACAGTAAAACAAAGGCACCAATTACTCCACCAATAATTATACCTACAATTTGTAAATGAAGTATCAAATATCAAATAAATCGCCCTTTGATTACAAGTCTCCGAGAGGACCACAGGCCAAGTAATGTGAAGTGATTTTAAAGATTTATTAAGTTGTATAACTTTAATTTGTTAATATATATGTATATATGATCTTAACAATCACGTCTTCGGCTTCTTGAAGTTATATAAATCCTAATACAGACAGTCTGACTATGCAATGACATGACAAAATACGAAAAACGACGAAAAGTTGAACAAGTCTACAAAACACAACATAGAAACTAAATATATGCAGCATGACCATCACAATGAATCGGGGGGGGGGGGGGGGGGGGGGGATCAAACGTGCTCCTGAAGGGTAAGCAGATTCTATTCCACATGTAGCAACCGTCGTGTTTCTATTGTAAATACAAATACAGTTATGAGTCTTGTTGGTGCTGTCCCATTCGATAAAAATAGGACAAAATATTGCTGTTACGAAAATCGGTGAAAAATGTGATACAGATATTACATTACGGTCAATCAACTGGTGATTGCGCCCGTAAAATTTCAATGGAATTACTTCAAACTTACCACTTGGAACGTTTAGTTTTATAGCTCCTCTTTCAGAGAAATCTTGAAAGGAACTACGAGTTATAGAGCAGAATGCTACCATGCATGTGTCGTTTGTCTTTATGCTAGTTTTTTTTTTTTGTGCTTCATGCCGGTCTGATGAGTCAAGCCATTTTTAACTAATTTCAGCAGTTTGTTCTTATGTTGTGCTGTTACAACAAAGTTGGGGGGGGGGGGCTAGGATTAAGTGTTCACAAACATATTTTACATCAGAATAGTTTGTATGTGCCTGTCCAAAGTCAAAAGCCTTTAACTCGGTGGTTGTCGTTTGTTTTTGTTTGTTATATCGTTTCTCGTTTATTGTTTTGTCAGAAATCAGGTTTTTAAAGTTTCATATTTTGTCCGTTGTAGTCATTTATATCTGAGGTTTTTTGTTGTCCTATTGTTGACGGTGACTTATCATAACTGTTTAAATCCACATATTCTACACTCTGTTGAATAGTTGTCTCACTGGCAATCAAACCACATTATTTAGATACGAATTGTTTTCTTGAAACGAAAAAGACTGTGTCGCGGTATTGTATACACAATAACTAGATTACACTTAATCCACTGTGTTTCGCACTGTTGAATATTATATTTGAACAACAGAAAAGCCAAAAAAGATGACAATGTAAATATGTTTATTTTTGTGCAGTGATGGAACTTACTAGTATATGATTTTGTCTTGCTGTTCTTGCTCGAAGAATCATCTGTCAGTTGGTTGTTGGTGAGTGCTTTCTGAGATGTGGTGATGTGTTTTGAGTCAGAAACTTTTACTTGTGTAACACAAATTTGTTTCAAATTACTGAATTATAACAGGTAGGATGATTTTTTCTTATAATTTGAATAAATACAGTTCACATTGAATGTTTAGAATACAATTTTAGTTGCTATATCATGGATAAATGACAGAAGATAAAAGAGTATTTTTTTACAACACATTTTTGCTTGAAGCAGCAACAAGCTAGCCGATGAATTGTACAATCGAGATGTGTCTCTTCTTATGATCAACAAGAAACTGTAAAGATAACATTTGCTTTAATTCCAATTAATTCACATTGACATTGATAAAAAGTGTCAATGATGTTTTAATGCAGAAAAAAAATGTGTAAGTCCGGAAGATGTCATTGAGAAATGATTTAGTTTTAAATTAGCAAATGGATAATAAATAAAGGCAACAGTAGTTCAATAGTCATGAATCGATTAAGCGAAAAAAAATCCGGGTCACAAACCAAAACCGAGGGAAACACATCAACTATAAGAGGAAAACAATGGAACAGCTAAACAAGCATACATCAGTATGAGAACAAAAGTATGACAGATGATTAACGGGCGTACTTTCAATCATGCTAAAAATAGCCTATGGTAAAAAATTAAGTCTATGAAAAAAACTTTATAAAAATTTTACCATGAAGCTAAAAAACTTAATACGGATTATATTGAATAAGGGCTTATTTTTTTCTATCTTTCATTATATAAAGAAATATTAATTGCCAATCTAAATTTGAAAGATATGTATCGATATGGATAAACTTTATGTCTTGTTTACAAGAAAGCTAAAATCATTTCGTTTGTGGTAGTTTCTTTATTTTATTTGTCCATAAGATAGTAGTTTCCCGTAAATCAATTAAAAAGAGACAAATGAAAGTATAATAGAGAAGATATGGTGTAGTCGTTTTGGTATGTATTGTCCTAACATGTAATTACACTTAGATGTAGAGACTAAATGGAATTGAATAATGGAAAAGAATGAAAGCATCATTATATTTGAGAGAAAAACTAACGGATGTCTTCAAACGACTGTCGAGTTCTTACGTTTCAAAGGTTTCAGTAATTCCTGCTTTATCATGTTCATTTACAATTTGTAAGAATTTTTTTTCGCGACAATAACAAATATCAACTATTGTGATTGTTCATACTATAGGTGTGACAAAGAAAAACGTGTATCTAAAAGATCGACGTGTCTACTTTCTGCTGTGGAATAGCTGGTTTTGATGAGGCGATCAAAGCCATGTATAATTAAGAATAAAAATATCGACCAAATTCAGTCTTGTTGATTTTTAAACAATAATAACTAACCAACTGATGTTGATTTTGCTTCTATGTTAAGCTTTCTGTTGAATGAAGTTGTATGCAAGGAACATGCAGTAGTATGATGTTGGACTACATTTGCTCCACCAAAAATAGGTAATGAATTGATTTAAAAATATAAACTGGACACAATAAATAAGGATTACTCAAAGAAATAAAGTGTTAAAAATGATATTGGTGCTTTAATAATATTGAATCGATGAACTCATGAATAAATTGTAAAAGCGTCAATTACTTTTTTTGGAAATAAGTTGATACCAAATGAGGAAGATACCAAGGTGGCTATCAAAAGTACAAACACATAGGGTGACGTATACTACAACTACGAAAAAAAATACTGTAAAATAATATTAAATGATTAAAACAATTCCAAATAAAAGAAAAACTAAAGAAACCAAAAGTATATTCAAAATCATCAGTCGAAGACTAGCTGACAACATCATGAAACAGACGAAAAACAATGAAAGACAAACAACAATCTATATAACAAAACATAACAACATGACTACTACTAGGAATTAAAATAATAATCTAAAAGGGCGTAGTCCTAGGTGATGATACAAATGCAGAAAAATTTGGAGAAATTGTGACTTGTAATATATTCATGGACATCCGAGATATTTAATCGAGGTTCAAACACATCATGGAGTCCATAGTTCAAAGAGAGTAAAAAACGTTTACTTTCGTAATGCATATTTAAAACAATAATAAATGGAAAAAATTCTAATGAAATCATTATTCAAATTTGCCTAAATTTTTTTAATTTCACAATTTAGGTGTACAAAAGTTAATGAAAATTACAAATAATGCTATTTGATAAAACATGTAGCATAATCTTTGATGTACATACTTGAAAGTGATTCCTGAAAAGTAGAAACCCTCAAATAATTAGATTTCGAAAGTTTTCGCGTTTGTTGTTCCTCGACTAAAATATATAGTAGCTAATTAAAACAAAACAAAAGTGGCCTACATGCCTACATGTTGCAAAAAGAAAATATACTTCATAAGGCCCCGTATTTTAATGGAAGAATTATCATATCTCTGGTAATATATCTGTCCGAATGCTAAAAAAGCACCAGATTCGTAACTTATCAGTCATTTCAATTGACGAAAAAAGTTTGAAATGACAATTTAGAAGACAAGATTGTTACCGTTGAAAACACGACATATATTGAGAATAACAAAAATAAAAAATACAACACTGAAAAATTAAGGTCGATTCATGGTATACCGCCATCTTAGATTGTACTATTGCAGTACACTATCAGTCTAGTTATTTGCCAAAATCTGCAAATCTATAGACAGATGTGCAATTTTATTGTTTAGACAGTTTATATGTATGAAGAAAACTTGCTGATTTATTGCATTATCCAAAATATTTAAACAAACATTAAACATTTGTGTTTTAGAATAAATTTTTTCAACTAAGCAATTTCAGGGGAGATAACTCTTTTAGTGAAAAATTTGTACTGGACTGATAGGGAAATTTTTATTTTTTACTTGTGGCAAGAAAACAAGTTCAGTGACACCATTTTTTCTTTTTATTTTCTTAAAACATATTTTAAAACCGATCTTCTCACAATTTATTTCAAAATCCTATCTCATAGATTTCTTTTTATGCACCAAAATGTGTTTTTTCATTTTCATTCTTACCAAATTTAGGCAATTTTCAACGACTCATAGCTTGAAAAATAGCACGGTGGCCCATCCTTTTTATTATATTTTTGAAAAGAGTATAGTAAAATCTTCAATTTGGCAAAGTATAAGAAAATTCTATCTCGGGAAACATATACCTATGATCTAATTTAAAGAAAAGAAACTCGAACACCTAAAACCAAACAATTAATAAAAAAAAATTCAATTGACAGAAGAAATAAATATCTTTTTAGTACAAAACATTAAAACATTTTTAGCAGCAACATACTAGCAGGCGAGTTGTACATTCAATTCTTTTTTGGTTACAACCATTCTTCAAAACAAGTCTGGTCGAAATAATAAAAGGAATTAGTCGGTCAGCCGGACATTTTTAGCACTCACCAGGAGATAGGTCGCTCAATACAACGTATGTTTGTTCTTTCTTAAGTAATTGACATGATAAGAGAGTTGTTTTTATGGTATAACTAGTTTATTTGACTATTCAAGATTAATACCAATACGTTTACTGAAAAGATAGCAGAGACATAGCTTAAAATGCATACATCAGTATGAGAATGAAAGTATAAAACATTATTAACGTGCGTACTTTTTAATCATTCTAAATATAGCCTATAACAACAAAGATTATAACATAACAACGGGTTTTAAAATAATACTAAACAACAGATTACGCTTATTAAGGACCAGTTGGATGAAGGGCGTATCTTTTGAATATTTTCATCATATAAAGAAACATAGAAGGCTAGTCTAACAAGTCTAATATTAAAATATATATATACTGAAAGTTAAGAACAATTTTAAGTTCTTGTAAAAAAATGGCTACACTCATTCTGTGTGTCGTGGTTTTTTAGTTCCTATTAATCGGCAATTTAAAACAAACAGATCTGAATTAGACATTTTAGTATGCATTGTCCGTAATTATAGTCAAAAGCAAAATCTCAACTTTTATAGATTTTCTTCTTCTATGCTTCTATTCTCTAAGCTATGGGTTTGAGAATGGTTCTTACCAAACCTTTCTATTTAAAGAAAAAGAAGAGCGTACCTACTTTCTTTGATGCGACAATCATAAGTTTGAAGAATTAGGAACAAAAAAACTACTAATTTGGTATTGCTGATACTTTAAACAATAATATAACATACCACCCGATGTTGATCTTTCTTCTACGATAGGGTTTCGGTTGAATGGAGTTACTTGTAACGAAAATGCTGTAGTATGATGTTGGACTGCATTTGATACTGAAAATATATGTAATGAATATTAATGTTTTTAAAATTATCAATTTGTCCTTATAAATAAGGATAACTTTAAAACAATGTTTTTTAGAATGAAATTAATTTAACCATAACATTGAATTGACTTTTTATAAAAAAAATGTAAAATGATGAACTCATGGCTGCAAAACATCATAAAAATATTTTTTTTAGTGAATGGTCAAATATTTTATATGACTTTCTGTTGATATAAGTTGTGCCAAAAAAAAAGGATGATACAAATGTGTCGATTTAGACAAAATCCGAAGGATGACGAATACTACCATAATTTTGGTCAAACGATAACAAAATGAAGATAATATTTAGTAAATAAAAAATCTCCACAAGTGTCTTTTTGTGATTGAACCCAACCGACACCAAGAACCTTAGCATGATGATGAACCGGCGTGATTTTGAAGGGCAGGCAGTTTCTGTGTCAAAACGTGAAGCACTTTTTCTTGCCATGCAGAATTCATACAGAACCTTTTCAAAGACGAAAAGAAAAAAGCATCTTGCAAGTTTCTTCATGCTTTCATCTCACATGTTCTAGTGAACTTTGAATACGGATATTTAATACAATAAAAAATGTCTGCTTCATTCTTTGATCTTTTCCTCAATATTGACACATATGAACGACTTCAAATTAGAATCTATGATAAACGTGATGATTTCAACTTTCCAATTCTCAATTTCCCATCTCAGCAGTAACATATCTGCTCCCTCGATTTTCCTTTACTTATCTGAGATAATACGTTTCTCTCGTGCATGTTCAC